TGTATTTAGTACAGGGTCTACAGGGTCTCACTACACAGATCAGACTTGCAGTGATTCTCCTATTTTCCAGTCTCCCAAGCACTGAGATTACAGACATGTGCCACCACGCCCAGTCTCAATGGAGGTCTCAGCGTGTCCCTGGGGGCTGGGCTGGCACAGGGTTTGGTCCCTGCGTCTGCCTAAGCAGGGGCTACGGATTAGTGATTTAGTGAGCCCTAACAACAAAAACAAATTAAAAAGCTGGGCATGTAGTTCACTGTGAAGGGTGTGAGGCCCAGATGGGTTTGCCAGACTATGGGGGGATGGTTTCCTCCTAGTGTTGCTGGTGAAAATGTAAATGAGCCATGCCTCTTCAGAGTGATCTGGTGACATCTGTACTCAGTGTCCAGAAACACATTTGTAAGTGCAGCTGCTCCTTTACTTACTGTGGGGTTATGTTCCTATAAACCCATTGGAAGCTGAAAACAGCATGCTGTATGTGCATCAGCTCCATCTACCCCACCAGCCTGCTCAGTGCTGTGTAAAGTCTCGGGTGCTCACCCTGGTGACTCGCAGGCTGTCTAGGACTGAGGCTTGCTGCTGTTTCCCAGATTCATGAAAAAGAACCCACCTGAGTACCAATGTCCAAGGAAAGATTTTAAATCTAAGAATTTAGAGTACAGAGCTGGCCTGATAACTCAGTGGACTAAAGCGCCTGCTTAGGTGGTGTGCTGAGATGGTGACTGAGACTGGGCATGTGGGTGTGCGCCTGTAAACCCAGCACTTGGGAGGCTGAAAACAGGAGAAGCACTACGAATTTGATCTACATAGTGAGACCTTGTACATCTTGTAGACCCTGTCCTAAATACAGAAAAAAAAATGTAGAGTACAGTTTCTAGAGAATGTCCATCACTTTGACACCATTGTGAAAAAAAATTTTAAGCTAAGCCATCACATATCAGGAACTACCTGTATATTTGTGGTAAACATACACATATCATCTCCTCCCCACCAAAAACCTCACTGCACATATGCAGGAGAAAACACTGTCAGGAGAGCACTGTATTATTGTTTCAACAGAAAAAAAAAAATAACTCAAATGCCCATGGCTGAAGCAACAGATAAATAAGCAGCAGAAGGGTACTGTATTGGTTACTTTCCCATTATAGGGACACTCACAACTTCCAGGGGGGCAGAGGTTTATTTTGGCTCATGGTTTCAGAGAGCTCAGTCCGTGGTTGGTTGGCTCCAAGGCAGTAATAGCATGCAGAAGGGTCTGGTGGAGGACAGATGTCCAGCCATGGCAGCCAGAACGTGGAGAGTGGAGATGGGGTGAAGGACAAGAATGGCATCCTTCCAGGTCATGACACAGGGAGCTACCACCTTTATCTAGACCCCAGTTCTTCCCAGCACCTTTAGTGATCCAATCAGCAATCCAATCTTTGATCCGATCAACGATCAATCACCTTGCAAAGACCCTATCCTGAGCACATAAGGCTTTTAGCGAGACATTTATTATTATTATTATTATTATTATTATTACCAGGAATCAAACTCAGGACCTTGCACTTGCCAGGCAGGTGCTGTGCATTGAGCTATAGCCCCAGCCCTAGAGAGACATATTGGATCTAAGCCAACATAGGTACTGATGCCCTGAAATGAACTCTGGTGGTTATAAATAATGGAAGAGACCTTTATGTGCTATCATGGCAGAAACTCAAAGGCATATTGTTGGGTTCAGTTTCTTAGGTGCAGTGTAACTTTTCGTTTGTTTGTTTTGAGACAGAGTCTCACTTTGTAGTCCATGCTGGCCTCAAACTCAGCCTCAGGTGTAGTATGAGTCTTATTTTAAAAAGAAAATGAAATGGGACCAAACATCATAGAACAAATTAGGGGAAACAACTTCAGTGGAGAAAATTTAGAAAAAAAATTAGGGTGTTTTTGGATTTAAAATTGACTATCAGGGGCTGGGAATGTAGCTCAGTGGTACTGCGCTTACCTGGCAAGCCCAAGGTCCTGAGTTTTATTCCTAGTACTGAAAAATAAAAAAAAAATTAAAAAATAAATAAAGTTAACCCTCAGGAGCTAGTTCTGAGCTTGAGAATTGGGTGAGCTAAGGTGAGCTTCCAGGTAGTTTGAGTTTCCAGGTACCCAGATACTAGATTTGTCTGTAACATTTTGTTATTGCTCTTGTTCTTGCTGTTGTTGTTGATTAGTTGCACTGAACCACATCTCCAGTAGGTTTCTCATGTTTTCATTTTGAGACAAACCACTACGTTGCCCAGGTACTGCCCTTGCTATGTTGAGCAGAGGGAAATTCTCACCAGTTGTGACTCTCCTGTCTCAGCCTCCCAGAGTGCTGGGAATAGAAGTATCTTCCATCATGGCTGGCTCAACTGTTTAAAGAAATGCTAACTCTATTACCATTAATGTCCTTACCAATCAATTTCAGAAGATGAACAAGAAAGAAATGACCTCGACTCTGGAGACATGTAGACTGAACTGGAATCTGAATTCTAGCTGCATCCTGTCCATAGGTTGTTCACATACTGTATGTTGTTTCCCTCTTCAGCCCAGGTTATGGATGGGCTGAAGTGACCTTGGCCTCATGGTATAACCACTGGAAGAAGTGAAACAGTGTCTGCAGAAGGGCCCACATAACCTCTGAGGAGAGGTACAGGACTTGTACATGTCAGTTGAAATTAATGGACAAATTCATTTTGAAGCCAACCAACCTAGACTGCATGATATTTTGGGGTTTCAGTTCCTAAGGAGTCCTGCCAGGTCAGTTGAGTACATGAGAACTCTGGCAAAGCCTCAGGGTGTGAGGGCCTTGATAGAGATAGGCCAGTGCTCTGCCTAGCATGATATCAACACAGGGCAGGAGAAATCCTGTGTTCTGTGACCTTGAGCAGGGAGGTTGGAGACATGGTGTAGACATCTGCAGTGACCTCCAGAATAATGACTTATCAGCTGTGAAGGCTGCTGGTTGGGCAGAGGGAACTTCTCACCACTGACCCTGCAGGTTATTAGTGACCAACAATGACTTCTGAATTCTCAGTGGAGCGCTTGAAATTCTGGTAGGATCTCAAAATTCTAGCAGGAACTTTGTCCTTGGCAATCACTTCTTGCTTGTATGTGATGGGAAGAACAATCTCAGTGCCCTAAGCTCCATTCTCTCACCTGTACAAGGAGGAGGTCTTAGGACCACACAGTTGGGTGACTCAGCTGGACTTTGCAAGGGTTCAGCCATTGTCAGTAGAGTTTGCTTCTTTTTAGCCAGCTCAGCCAAGAGTGGTTTTGTTTCAGTCTCATCATCTGGGCTGCTGAGCAACTCCCTAGCATATGTATTGCATCTACAGTGTGTTTAAACATGGCCTGGCCCTGTGGGCAGCAGGGGCATGTCCCCAGAGCTTCGCCGGAACTGGGATCTACATCTTCCCACACATGTGCACTGTACTTTCCTCCTGGCCTTGGCAACTACCCATTCATTTCCATGTCCATTCTTCACCTGGTCCCCTTGTAATATGGAGATACAAAACCATCTCTTGGAGGATAGATGGCACTTAGCACCTTTGGGTTTGCAGTCCTGTAACTGGAGGTCTTTAGTGAATAAAGATCTTCATAAAGTATCACACTATTGACCCTCACCTGCTGTGGCATCCTCAATATTTTCTCTACAGTGATCTGATTCCCTCAACTTATTTTCCTAAGTGGAGTCTGAAAACTGTATTCATAGCACAGATCTTATCTTTTGTAACCCCTTATTGCTTCACATGTTTCAAAGCTTCCCATTACTTGTAGCATGAGGCATACTTCCTAATGTGGGTGCCAAGCCTTCCTCTGACTGCCAGCTGGCCTACTGTGGCCCCCACACTTCTGCAATAGGGCACCAGTCTCTTGAGGTCCCCTTCCACCCGCTCTCCTTCAGTCCTTTGCCTATTGGTCCATTTACCAATAATGGTATTTGTTTCTCTTCCATTTCTCACTGGAGCAATCAATCTGCCAGAAAAAAGATTCTAGAAATTGTATTTCTTGGGTTCCAGCCCTGACTCGTTGCCTACTTGGTCCCCCAAACCCATCCCATCCATGAATATATATCAGACGCTAGCAGTTCAGTCAAGAATAACAACATAACCCTTGACTTAATTTTCTGCCTTTGCCTTTCCCAACTTTCCTTTCACAGAGCTTTGTCTTTGTTCCCTGACATATATTAAAAGCTATTTTAAGCAGAGCAGTTCCTGTCGGCTTTGATTTATTCAACATCTTCCTCTGCTTCCTGTGAAAATTCATCAAGGTGTATCTTAATTATCTTTTCTCCAGGGTCCAAAATGCAGACTCCTATGCCCTCCGGGACCCTCCCTCCTGTGCCAGGGACTCTGCTTATGCAGACAGTGTGGTTATCCAGTGTCCTTGACTCTGACAAGCTCCTTTCTTTCTCCAAAGCCTTTGATCGCTGTTTCTGGGGTTCATTCCTTGTATATAACCCACAATTGCATCTCACCTGCCTTATCTCTCTTGTGGGCTCTCTTAATTGGCAAGAATTTTCCATTTTCTTTTCTCCTGTATAGCAAAAGTTATCTGTTCCTCTGACAATTTTGGAAAATTCTAAAGCACAGACACCCAGTACCTGGCTCACCAGGCGAGTTGGAAACTCTGTGACCTTGAACAAGTCACTTCCCTTTTCAAGGCCCAAATTTCCTAAGCTGTGAGTAAAGACCTTAGCTTGTGTAATAGGTTAATGAATCTCTTCAGGAATCCACATTCACCCACAATATGACCTTATAGTACCCCTCTTATCCATAGTTTTTCCTTTCTGTGGCTTCTTATGTGGTCTTTTAAGAAATATAATTTCTGGGAAGCTTACTTAAATTTTAAGGCAATTTACAATTTGGCTTTTACCCCAGAATCTTATCATAACGCTTTTTCTAAATCAAGACACCATGTGATGAAGTTCATATTTCTCCAGCAGGAAGTTAAAAACTATAATCATGAGGCAGCATCTGTCCTGATAGCTTTATTGGGACACAATGGTAACATAGGACATTGACCCAGGCTCCCACCACAGATGTTCCTTCTCTGGGCAGCATCATGTACACAATTTCTGCAGCGAGCAGAGGCTCTCAGAAGCCTCCAGAAGGGAGGGTGCAGGTCAGACCCAGACTTGCAGGAGTCCTCTACAGTGCTAAGTGGCCTGTGAGCACCGTAGGCTGGAGCCCTGACCAGCAAAGTCTGTGATCAGGCCCTGGAGGTCTTACGCTTCCAACTACATGGCCATCACTTAGAGACCTACCTGCCTCAGATTCCTACAAAAACTTCCAGAGAGGCAGTTTTTAAGTTTCCAGAAGGAATTCAGCTGCAAAATTAAATATCTCTGGGGATCATGAAGGCAAATAATGCCTTCAGGTTTATTGGCAGGTAAGCTGCTTAAGTGTTGGCATTGACCAGACTGTGAGCATTTTATTTTCTCTGTTCGATCATTGAACAGATACTCATTAAGCTCTTACTGTCACCAATACTCTACAGGGGCTGGACAGACAGAGGTTAATATAAAACTCATGAGTGTGTGTGTGTGTGTGTGTGTGTGTGTGTGTGTGTGCAGATGTTTTTAAGGAATCATGGAAGTGACAGTGGCATTACAACCATGCCAGTAGCTTCCAAGGAAACCTCTGAGGATGTGTGGTAGGGGCTTGATTGAATATTTAGGACCAATGAAGACTTTTTACACAGAAATGGCAATTTGGCTGAGATCTCATGGAGTCCATTGGCTCACAGAACAAGAAGGGCGTGTGAAGTCATGGAAACAGTGCTGGGAGTGACTGAGTTGCTGGAAAGAGCAGAGTGACATAAATAAATAAAAAGACAAGTAGAGCTGAAGTAAAGAGAGCGAGGGTGGAGAATGCTGCAGGAATAGGCTTCAAGGACATGAATTCAGCCATGCAGGGCCAGTGGGGCAAAATAGAGATGCATGACACAATCAGGTTACCACTTTACACCATGGCTGTCGGGTAGAGGGAGGGAAAGAAGGAGTAGAGTGGGAATGTGAAGAAGGGATAATGTGAAGAAGGGGTATAAGAAGCTGTTTCAGTCACCCCAGTGGAGATCATGGCAGTTGGATTGAGTGAACACAGGACAGGTGGACGGTGGATACGTGTAGATGTTAGGACGCAGGAGGGTTGACCAGGAGGAGCAAGGCAAAGGGACATGCCAAAGGCAACTCTCAACCTTTGAAGCACATGGTGGGCTTTTACCTGAGAAGGGGAAGCCCAGGAAGGGAGCAGGTATAGGGAGAAGGCCAAGAGTACAGTTATGGACACACTAAAGGTGAAACATCTTTGAAATGTCCAGGTGGTGGTGTTGTGTAGGCAGTGGACAGTTTACAGCTTCTCTTAGGAGCCTGTGTTGTAGTTGCAAATCTGTGAGAAATCACCACATGCCTCAGAGCTGAGTCAAGGGTGGAGACAAGGCCACAGAGGGAGAGAAACTGAAGCGAGCAGACAAGGCTGAGGTCAGCACTGGGAAGGGCTACATGTATTGACTGGATGGTGAGTTGTGAAGAGGCTAGGAAAGCCCGGTGGGAGAAAATCAGGATGGGCTTTTGGAAGCCAAGAAAAGAGTATTAGGTAGGAGTGGGGTCACCTAGAAGGTGCTACTGAGAGAAAAGTCCATCGACATCCTCTTATTTCTAGAGCCCTTGCCATCCTCATCTCCTTTGGCCTCTTCAAGCATTCCATAAACAGGAAGGGACAATTACCCCTCAAACAGAGGAGGAGAGAGCTGTTCAGAGGGGTCAGATGATGTGTCTGAGGTCATGTGGCCTGTAGAGGGACTTCTGGGTCAACTCCCCCATTCACAGCTTCTGCAATCCTGTGCCTGAACCTGTCCTCCCTGACTCCAGAAGTCACATTGTCTTCAGTGGGCACTGCACACAGCTTTTTGTTGAAAACAAGCACCAGAGATGGTCAGTCTTTAGTGTGACAGGATCCCCAGACCTGACAGTCTGAGCCTCCTAGCAGGTGGGTAGGTTGAGTCAAAGAAATATCTTGGCCTCTCTTTGGAGAGACAGTGTATTGTAGTGTCAAAAGTACAGATGTGAGGTCTTGCTGTCCATCCATCCATCCATCCATCCATCCATCCATCCATCCATCCATCCATCCACTCATCTATTCAATCAACAAATAGTTTCCTAGTACCTCTTATGTGCCAAGTATACTTTCTAGCTGAGTGGCTCAAGCAGGCCCAGTGCTTCTCTGGGCCTCAGTTTCTACCTCTGTAAAGGGAAGATGGGGGCTCTTAACTTAACCACACATTGTAAGGATTATGTGAACTCATGCAAGTGAAATACTTGGCACATAGTAGGTGTTTATGAAGGCAGTTTCCTTTGTTTTCCTATCCCTTTGTTTTCCTTCATCCTGCAGACCCCACAAGGGAGTGAGAGGGTGATGCTTTAAAGCAACAACCTCTGCCCTGCTCTGAGAACACACATGTTCCTACATGTACACATCTATGCACATGTGTGTACACATCTCCATAAGTCCTGCTATCTCTGCACATGACTCCTAGGGCCAGCACCAACGTGAACTTTGCAGCCCTGGAATTCAGCCTAGTGGAGTCCTGAGCCCCTGTCTGGAATGCTAAGCACAGAACATGCCACTGGCCCTGGGCCAGAGGACCCCAGCACCCCAGGGTTCTTGCTCAGTGGCTGCGAGTTCTGGGTCCTTAGGAGCTCCGATGTCAAATTTGAATGACCAGGACCAGTATCTTCACATCCTTGGGCGACTCTAAACAGCCTCAGAGGGCAGTGCCCTCATTGCTTCCTGTTCTGGTGTGCTTTGGGTCTTCTCAGACAATGGCTCCTCAGCCTGTTCATCTGAGGGCCCTCCCAGGTATCTCTGGAGGAACTGAAGCCCCCACAGGTTCTTGCAGCAACTCAGGATGTTGCTGGAGCACGTGGTGCAGGACAGAGACGGTTTCCTGTGGAGACAGAAGCACAGGTCAGGCTTGAGTTGTTCACAGGGGACAGAGATTAGCCTCTCTACTTTGCTTCCCAGGTCCTTGGGAAGGGTGGAGTAGGATGGACTGGGGACCTGCGCTGGCCATCTGGAATAATCCATGTGCAAAAGGCACTTCACCCGGAAGGAGCCATATGCGGGAGACTCACATTCAAGACCAACTCTGTTTCCAACATGCTGTGTACCTTTGGGATGTGACTTAGCATCTGTGAACCACAAATAGAGGTGAACACCATATTCCCAACTCTTGGAAAAATGAAGTGTTATGAAATGTGTGTAAGTATAGATATAGGCTGGCTCATTATAAGAACTCAGTTAATATTTGCTAGTTCTAAATCTTTTTTGGTGCTGGAAATCAAATCAAGGCCCTCACATATGTAGGCAAGGATTCTATCAGTGATCTGTGCCCTGTCTTCTCTTTCCAAATCCTACTGAAGTGACTCCTGAGAGTCTCCAGCATGCCTTGCTTGGGTTGGGGGAGGATGGGGGGTGTCACACAGCAGCAATGAATCTGGAAGGCTGACTCATAGGGCTTTGGAGCGAGGATGCAGCCAGCCTGCATTGTGCCTTCCGGGTGGGCCCAGCCCAGCCCAGCCCAGCTGCAGGCTCTGTGTGGCCCCAGCTCTCCTCTGGCTTTAGCTATCTTCCCTCTGCAGAGCACCCCACCTTCACCTGGACCTCAAGGTCACAGTCTGGCCTTTCAGAGGCTCCGAGGGGCCTCTTCTGTGGTAGCAGTGTACATATTTGACCAAGCAGGCAGGTCTCTGCCCTTGAATTAACGTTCCAGAGGGAGCCAGTGGCTCTGAGAAAGTGGTTCTAGTGGAAATTTGTAAAATTATCTAAGAAGACCTACCCCAAGACTGGGAAACAAGCACCTTCCTTCTCATGGGGGTGTTCAATAGTACTTACTACTCTTTTGGAAATACTGCATTTTCACAGTAAAATGCAGACTATAGAGATTAATAAAAAGAAAATAAACATCTCAAGTAATTCTCCTAATGGGACGTATTTTTTCTTACAATCAGTTCAGTCATTACACTTTAAAAATATATATTGATCATCCACGAAAACTCTATGAAGCACATATTTTAACGACTTACAATCCTCTTACCTTAATCTCTCGAGAACCTGGGATAACAGGCACAGGGCACCACAGACCAACTCTAATATTTTGCTCTTCTTTATTAAATATTTGTTTCTTACCATTAATTTCTGTTGTTCTCTGCACCATGCTTTTCCTTTATCTCTCACTCAGCTTATTTTATTGTTCTATTTAACTTTCTGAATCAGATGATTAGGTGATTAAACTTCAAATTTATTTTAAATTATGAGCATTGAAGTCTACATTTCCCTCTCTGAAGAGAGCAGTGGAGGTGTACTGCAAGTTTTGCTGTGAAGTATTTTCACTGTTCACTTGAAAATATTTTCTAATATTCATAATTATCTATTTATTCATGATCTATGAAGAAATGTGCTTGCAAATGTCTGTGTGAAGATTTTGTTGTTGTTGCTTAATTTTGTTGTAGCCAGAATGCTACAGATAATGTTTCAAAATATGCTGGTACTTGCCCTTTTTTTTTTTTTTTTTTTTTTTTTTTTTTTTTTTGTACCAGGAATCAAACTTGGGACTGTGCTCTTGCCAGGCCAGCACTTATGCTGTGAGCTGTCTCCCTGCCAGTCAGTATTTGCTTCTTAGTACATAGTCAACCTTTTCAATGTTCTACTGTATTTATTTTTATATACTTGATCTTCAGATATTGATTGCAGTACAATATACACTTTCCACTATAGTTTGTTAATTTCTCCTTGTAGCCCTATCAGTTTCACATATTTTTAAAGCTAAGTTATTTTGTACATAAGTTTAGAAGTATTATTTCCTCCTTTATTAAAATATGATGGCCATTTTTATCTTAAGTAGTATGTCTTGCTTAAGTTTCACTTTAATATTAATATATCTGTCTAGATTTCTTTGGTTGGTATATATATAGTACCTAGTATATTTTTTATTCCTTACACTTTGAATACTTTGGTTTCCTTATATTCTGTATGTCTATTATAAAAGTATGTTTTATGGGCCGACCACATAGCTCAGCAGATTAAAGTGTCTGCTTAGGCAGAGTGGAGCAGCTGGGGTTTGATCCCTGGGCCTGCCGCGCCGGCCCTGCCTCTGGGGTGCGCTGAGATGGCGACTGAGACTGGGCGTGGTGGCTCGTGCCTGTAATCCCAGCACTTGGGAGGCTGAACACAGGAGTATCGCTACGAGTCCGATCTATGTAGTGAGACCCTGTAGACCCTGTAGACCCTGTACTAAAATACACACACAGAATAAATAAATAAATAAACAAACACACAAAAAAGTATGTTTTGGGTTTAACAACCAAATCTTGCTGCCTGCCTGCATACACTAACTGGCTGGTTTATGATATTTTCATTCACTGGTATTACAGATACATTTTCATTTATTTCTTACATTTATTTTTGCATTTCACATTTGTCCTACTTTTTCTAAGTTTACTCCCTTTTTTGTTTTGTTTCAAATTGACCTTTTGTATTCACTGACTTTCCACTATACCATATGAAATTATAACCCTTTATTTGTTAAAGTGATTACCCAAGGTATTTTAACTTGCATATTTAACTTTTAAAAGTCTGATGGCCTGGATCTCCTCTCTCCTTTGCTTAGCTGACCATCCATGCCAAATGTAAGCTGGGTGAGACACAAACCTAGAATTTCTCCACTGCATGAACCTACTGTGTGAAGTATGGTTGAAAGATACAGTATTGGCAATACACATTGCCATTAAGCATCCTCAAAATACTCATTTTTGCTTTAAACACACTTATCCCATCCTTCTTCTCACTTTCTGAAGCAGTTCTGGAAGGTCTCTTTCATGAGTATCTTTAGTTTCCCTCTTGTGGGGGTCTTGATGTGCTGAATTGACTTAAATTGTTACCTTTCATGGCCATTTTGACTTTGGGGGGAGCCAGAGGTTGCATGGTGCTAGATCCAGAGAATAAGGTGGGTGAGCACACGCTGTAATGTTTCCACAGGTTGACTTTCTATTGGATGGCATTTGGCTGCAGCATTTGCTAACTTTTTTTATTTTATTTTTTTATTTTTATTTTTTTATTTTTTATTTTATTTTATTTATTTATTTTTTGTTTCTAAAGTAAAAATAGTTTATTCGTGACCCAGTACACAGGAGGAAAAGCACTTCTTTCACATCGCTGACTTCACTTCGGACTCCTCGGAATGTTCACTTCTTTGGCTTATCCGAGAGGCTGCGGGGAAGCCGGGCGCCCTGGGGGACTGGAGCGAGGGGCTGGGGTGTCTCCACGGGGAGTGGCCGGGGCTGTTAGTCGCAAGCGGGTTCTCCAGGACGTTAGGGAGCCTGGGGGGCCGGAGTTCAGTCGTCCCCACCGCACAGGTACAGCAACGCTTTCTGGTAGTCTCCCTTGGTGTCTTGCTGGATGTAGTAGTACAGGGACTTGCCGTACTTCTTCTTGAACTCAGACCTGATTTTCAGCATGTCCACCTCACAGCGGGAGACCATGATCCGGATCAGAACCTTGTCACGGGTGCCCTTGCCCTTCATGGAGTCGTACAGCCGGTCGGCGAAGTACAGGGGCTTGTTCTGGATGCACTGGACCAGGTTCAGGAAGGCATTCTCCAGGTCTCCTTTGACCTCCTTCTTGATGCTCTCCAGCATGTCGTAGGGGCTGTAGCTCTTGTACCTTTCGAATACTTTCTGCAGGTGGCACATGCTCCGCTCTGTCATGATGCTGATCCACTTGGGGACATCCGTTCCTTTCCTCTTCACACCGGCATCATAGAGATCCCGGGCATCTTGGTCGATGAGCTCGTAGTCAATGACAGAGCCGTCCTCTGCTCGCCTGCCCTTGGCCAGGGCAACCATCAGCTTGCGGAAGTCACTGGATGTGTCGGAGACGATGTCCTTCTCGAGGTCGGTCTTGTACATTTCCTTGTAGACTCTGTTGATCTCCTGCAGTTCCTGGTTGGTTCTGGAGCAGATGATCTCGATGAGAGAGTCCTCATCAGTCCCCAGCCCCTTCATAGAGGCCTTCAGCTCGGAAGCATCGTACTGCGCAGGGGTCTTCAGCAGGCCCAAAATCACCGTCTCCAGGTGGCCCGAGAGGGCTGACTTCAGTGCTGATGCGAGCTCCTTTTTGGTCCTCCTGTGGTACGCGAAGGCAATGTCCTGCCTCTGTGGGTTGCTGCGGATGGTCAAAATGTTGACGATGGTAACCTCATCCACACCTTTGGTCTTGATGGCTGTCTCGATGTTCAGGGCATCCCGCTCCGCATCAAAGTTGGTGTGGGCTTTGACGGACCCATAGGCACTGGCGGGTGTGGAGTGGTCCCCCTCCAAGCTGAGCTTGCACAGGATTTTGTGAACGGTAGACATTTTGAACAAACCTGGGCCGTGCCGACCGAGCGGACCGAGCTAACGTCCGGGGCCTGCTAACTTTTTTTAAAATCATACTTTGTAAAAATACTCAAAGCAAAAAAGTCCCAGAACTTCTTCAGAAAGTAGCAAGAGTGATGGGAGAAGTGTGTGTGTGGGGGAGAGTACTGTGAAGGGGATGAATAGCAATGTGTCTTTTACTGTAAAAAATTTAAAAATTTCAAACATTTACTGAACATTTTGATCACTTCTTGAATATGGGTTGAGATACTGGTATACTTAATATTCCCCAAGTGACCCCAAAGGCCACTTCTGTCCTCGGCTCTCGCTTGGAGATAGAGGTGTTAATAAGGCTCTGAGACAGAACAAAATAAGATGGCATCTGTTAGGATTAAGGGAGAGACTTACCCTCTTCACCTTTCCATTTTCATTTCCCTTTCTTCTGGTAATAACACCTTAATTCTTCTTTGAGATCCAACCTGCCCCATCTTTTGCTCAATGGACGAGGTAAATTTGACCTCTTTCCTTTTGCCCT